GCTGCTGCTGCTGCTGCTGCTGCTGCTGCTGCTGCTGGTGCTGCTGCTGCTGCTACTCATTCTAACTACTCTGGTGCACCTCCCCAAATTGATAATTTAAAAAATAGTTAAAAGATAAAATATTCTTTTGATGAGAAATGTGAGACTAATTAATTGAAAAGTTAATTATCCAAATAAAAGAATAAATAAAATAAAAAAATAAATAAATAAGAAAATTTGCAAATAAAATAAACAAATAAATAAACGCGAATATGTTCACATATATGTATGTGTGTAAATACTACACGCTGGAACCCTTTCAGTTATTTAAATTAATTTAAATTAATTTAAATTTATTTTTAGTTATTTATTTATTTTGATTATTTGAATTTATTTTAACTCATCTTTGTTTATTTATTTATACATATCTTTTAATGGAAATATACTAATATTTATTTATGTAAAATATGTTTTTTACAAATTTACATTTTAATAAATATTTCTTTTTTAATTATGTTTTTGCTGAATGCATTTATAAATATCTTTTATTAGTAGTCTTATTTTACTTCATCTTCTTTTATATCTATTTATTTCAATAAATGTCTTTCTTAATTCTTTTTAATTTATTTTAATAAATGTCTTTTATTTATAAATATTCTTTATTATGCTTTTTTAGTTTACTTATTTTTATTTAATTATTTGATGCATCTTTTCACATTTATTATTTTTAAATCTATTCAAGTATATTCTTTTAAAAACATCTTTCTAAATATATCTTTTTGAACTGTTCCTTTTAAATAAATATTTAAAGATAGATCTTCTCAAATAAATCATTTGAAACAAATATTTTAAAATTAATATCTTGAAATAACTCTTTTTAAATAAATCCTTTTAAGTTTAATTTTAATTTTTGTATGTATTAATATTTACATGCATATATTTCTTTTTATAAATATACTATAACTATTTTGAAAATATATTTTAAATATATTTTAAATATATTTTAAATATATTTTTGAAATAGAAATGGCAGCAATTTTGTAGTGTATAAAAAATGTATTTGTAGAAAATTATTTATAATAAATAAATATGTTTATAATAAATATAATAAATTGGTAATAAATAAACACATTTAAAATAATAAATATATTTTAAAATAATAAATATATTTCGAATAAATAAATCTGTTTAAAATAACTGACCATACCAAAAAATACTTATATTGAAAAGAAGTAAACACAATTACAATAATAAGTATATCAAAAAAATTAAAATGTAAATAAGGCAGAAGAAATTTAAAATAGGCAAATAAATTTAAATCAAATAAATAAATTTAAATCAAATAAATAAATTTAAATCAAATAAATAAATTTAAATCAAATATACTTACGTGAGACTGTGGGGCCCTTCCAGTATTACCTGTGAAATACCTTTTAAATGCCTTTTATTTTAAATTTAATTTCAAATTTAATTTTAAATTTAATTTTGAATTTAATATTAAATTTAATTTTAAATTTAATTTTTTAATTTTTAAATTTAATTTTGGAAGCAAACTTCAGTAGATTCGAGTGTATGTACACCTGAACAAATATATAAATTTGCAGATTTTGGATTTTTAAGAAAAGATTTTAAAATGAACTTTTGTTTATTTAAATATGATTTTCGAAAAAATATTTTATTTCAAATGTAATTATATATATATATACATTCAAAAGCAAAAGCTGCTGCTGCTGCTGCTGCTGGCATTGATGCTAGTGGTGCTGCTGTTGTTGTTACTGCTGCTGCTGCTAATGCTGCTGTTGCTGATAGTGCTTTTGCCGCCGCTAATTTTGCTGCTGCTGCCAGTTTTGCTGCTGCTCCTGCTGCTGCTGCTGCTGCTGCCGCTGCTGTTGGTGCTGCCTCAGCAGCAGCAATGGGAACTGATGGCTGATAGCTGGCGCATTCACTCGCGCATACAGCAGCTAGCACAAACCCTAAACCCTAAACCCTAAACCCTAGACACTTCACGCTTAGCCATGAGGGTCTGGCCAGCAGCAGCAGAGCGAGCAGCAGACGATCCTTAGCGGCATTTCTGCGTAGGGTTTAGGACTTAGGGTTTAGGGTTTAGGGTTTAAGGTTTAGGGTTTGGAGCTCAGAGTGTAGGCTTTAGGGTTTAGAGTTTGGGAGTGTCTGGGAGGATCAGCAAGCTGCTCAGGCTGCAGCAGCAGCAGCACTACCAGCAGCAGCAGCACTAGCAGCAGCAGCAGGAGCTGCTGCTGCTGCTTTTTACGAGCCTCGAGAGACATTTAGAAGGATTTCTGCACAGATTAGAGCTTGGGGTTTAGGGTTTAGGGTTTAGGGTTTAGGAATTAGGGTTTGGCAATGAGGCCCGGATATCTACAAATTGCGGCCTTGTCTTCCTACCCACTGCAAGGTTATTTAGGCTTGTGTGCTGCTGCTGCTGCTGCGTTGTTGTTGCTGCTGCTTTTTTGCTGCTGCTGCTGCGCTGCTGCTGCTGCCCTGCTATATTGAGATCCGAACTGTGCTGCTGCGCGGGATCCCTTGTGTTGCTGCTGCTGCTGCTGCTTGCGGCACTACATGGGAAGGAAAAGTTCAAAATAAAAGCAAAATAAACTTTGAAATTAAGTTGAGAACTTCTTTGTAACTGCTGCAGCTTCATTTCAATGTTTCTGTGCAACAGAATGTGTGGTCCGCTGCACACGGCGTGTCTGCAGGGTGGAGTGCATCTCAAGGCTTTTTTTTTCAGCTTTTTCCCCAGAAAAGACCCTTTTAAAGACTAAAAATGCATTTTAGTTTTCATTTTAAGTATTATTAAAGGAAAACAGCGAAGAAAAGAGGCGCGAGAGTCTGCAGAGCGGCGCTGCTGCGGCAGGTGGGTGAGCAGCAGCAGAGCAGCCACCGCGGCGTTGCTGCTGCTGCTCTGTTTGCCGCCTGTGGGCGTACTTTCGATTGAAATGTTTCTTGTTGTGTCTTATAAGAGCATTTTCTTTATTTTTACTCTAATTTACTTCTCTTGTATCGCCAGTTCCGTCCTGTTTCAGCCCCCACTGTGTGTCTGGAGCAGCAGCGGCGCGCAGCAGCAGAGGTCACCTGCGGTGTACGTACACCTCAGGTGTGTCGCTGCGCTTTTTTGGTCGAAACAGCTTCTCCAAGCTTCCCACTTTCCATTAATATTCCCTGACAGCAGGTACTGTAGGTGCTGTAGCCCTCCGGACCGCAGCAGAGCAGCAGTAGCAGCAGCAGCGACGGCAGTTGCAGCAGCAGCAGCAGCAACAGCGACACCCGTGTCCTTGCTAACCACTGACTGAAACAGAGAGAGTCCATTCTGAAAGCGTTTAGTGACAGTGGCAGTGGAAGTCCTAGTAACAACACAAACAGCCACAGCAGCAGCAGCAGCAGCAGCAGCAGCAGCAGCAGTAGCAGCAGCAGCACCAGCAGCAGCAGCAGCAGCGGCTGCAACACACGTGGCAAACCACGCGCAGCCGTACGACGCACCTGCTGCTGTTGCTGCCCACATTGCCGTGGAATGTGGCAGCACCTCTCTGGCCCAGCAGCAGCAGCAGCAGTAACAGCAGCAGAAACTGAGATAGCAGCAGCAGCAGCAGCAGCAGCAGCTGAAGCAGCAATCATCCTTGGTGTCTGCCTGTCGATGCTGGAAGTATTTCACAAGGCTACATCTTCATAGGCAGCCACTGGACCGCATCAGGTAGAGCAGCAGCATCAGCAGCAGCGTCAACTGAAGAGCAGCAGCAGCAGTAGCAGCAGCAGCAGAAGCAACAGCAGCAGCAGCAACAGCAGCAGCACACCCTTATTCACTAAGGGGGGCCCCAACAGGTTACGCCGGCGGAAGCAGGGGTCCCCATTGCCCTAAAAATGCCGCACATGCCCCGCCGTGACGGACCTGCTGCTGCTGCTGCAGCAGCAACAGCAGATAGCAGCAACAGAGGCAGCAGCAGCAACAGCAGCAAACTCAGCAAAAAGGCCTCTGCCACGGAAAAGCAAAACAAAATCGAGTTCCCAAAGGAAAAAAACCAACAGGTTGCCGATTCATTTGTCACCAAACACCAGCAGCAGCAGCAGCAGCAAGAGCAGCAGCAGCACGAGCACCAGCAGCAACCTGGACAGGCGAAAGGACAAGCAAGCAAGCAGCAGCAGCAGCAGCCGCAGCAGCAGCAGCAACCCGAAACTCTAAGCAACAGCGCAGGAGGCAAGATCCCTGATGGACTTCAGCACGAGCAGGAGCAGCAGCAGCTGATCCTGCAGCAGCAGCAGCAGCCACAGCAGCAGCCACAGCAGCAGCCACAGCAGCACACAGAGCCACAGCAGCAGACAGAGCCACAGCAACAACAGGCTCAGCAGCAGCAGCCAGTGCAGCTGGAGCAGCAGCAGAAAGAGCAGCACGAAGAGTATCCATCGCAGCAGCAACGTCAGCAGCCTCAAGACCAGCAACAAATTCAGCAGCAGCAACAGCAGCCACAGCAGCAACAGCCGCGGCAGCAGCAGCAGCAGCAGCAGCAACAGCAGCAAAGACCTGCTACAAAGAAGGGAGGAAGACGAGGCGGGTCTGGCCGCGGGAGAAATCAAAAAGGAAATCTTAACTCCCCCCAAAGGCCCGAAGCAAATAGGGGTTCCCAAGCTGCTGCTGCTGCTGCGCAGCTGGAGCAGCAGCAGCAGCAGCAGCAGCTGCAGCAGCAGCAGCAGCAGGGGGAACGCGCTGACAACGGCCAGATGGCAGCAGCAGAAGCAGCAGAGGATGCATGTGAGGAGAATATGCTCGGCTCTGCTGCCAACTCCAGGCCTGCTGCAGCAGCAACAGCGCAGCAGCAGCAGCAGCAGCAGCATCTTCAGCAGCAGCTGCAGCAGCAGCCTCTGGCCTCAATTGCTCAAGCCATTGCTGAGGCCAGCAGACAAAGAGATAAGAATCTAACCGAACAGCAGCAGCTGCTGCGCCAGCGACTCGTGGAGCTGCAGCAACAGCAGCATTTGCTGCAGCAGCAGCAGCACCTACAGCAGCAGCAGCAACTACGGCAGCAGCAGCACCTACAGCAGCAGCAAAGGCTGCATCTTCAGCCACAAAGCACTCACATGCTTCGTGGTGACCAGGAGGAGTTGCATCAGCAGAATATGCCGCAGCAGCACCTGCAGCAGCAGCACTACCTGCAGCAGCAGCATTTGCAGCAGCAACACCTGCAGCAGCAGCATCTGCAGCAGCAGCAGCAGCATTTGCAGCAGCAGCAACAGCACTTGCTGCAGCAGCGCCTGCAGCCACAGCCACAACAACATCAGTACCATTTCCAACAGCAGCAGCACTTCCTTCAGCAGCAGCTGCAGCAGCAGCAGCAGCAGCAGCAGCAGCTGCAGCAACAGCACCTGCAGCAGGCCCAGCCGCGGCAACTGCATTTGCAGCAGCAACATTCACAGCGGCAGCAGCCGCAGATGCAGCCGCAGCCGCAGCAGCAGCTGCAGCAGGAGGAACTGCAGCAGCAGCAGCAGCAGCAGCTGCCAGCAGCTAACCTAGCTGGCGGGAACCGGATCGTGCTGCAGCTGGCCCTGGAGCTGCTGCAGCGGCAAAGGCAGCAGCAGGGAGTTCCAGTGGCGGGTGCTGCTTTGCTGCAGACTTCTGCTGCTGCACCTTTTGGCGCAGAGGGAAACATGAAGATAAATAAAAGAAATAGAGATAAGGCTGCTGCTGCTGCTGCTGCTGCTGCTGCCAACGGCGTTGCGGTGGAGCCCCCGCTGCCTCTGTGGCAGAAGAATGCGCTGAGCGCAGCAGCGGCGCACGCAGCAGCAGCAGAAGCAGCAGCAGCAGCAGCAGCAGCAGCGCAAGCAGCAGCAGCAGCAACGCAAGCAGGGTTCGGCCGGCGGCTGCCGCCTGTGGCTCCTGTTTTGCAGGGGCCGCCAACAGCTGAGTCTGCTGCGTTGCTGCAGCAAGCTTTGCTGCAGCAGCAGCAGCAGCAGCAGCAGCAGCGGGCGGGGCTGCCGCAGCCGCAGCAGCAGCAGCAGCTAGACGTGCCGCTTGCTGCAGCAGCCCACTCGCAGGCAGCGCTGGCGACCCCCGGCGCGGGCTCGCCCAGCGCGCTGCCCCCGCAGCAGCAGCAGCAGCAGCAGCAGCAGCAGCAGGTGGAGCTGGGGGGCATGAAGGCGCGGCGGCTGGAAAAGGTAAACGTGGAATACCTCGGCAGCAGCAGCAGCAGCAACACTGGCCGAAGAAGAGGGGCCCTTCATGTTCATGTTTATCCTGGAACTCAAATAGATGAAAAAGGAAGAAGACAGAAAGTAGTTGTGAAGCAGCTGCTGCTGCAGCCCGCAGCATTTGGCTCGCCGCTGTGGCAGCAGCAGCAGCAGCTGCTGCAGCTGCTGCTCGACTGGCAGCACAGCCACTGCTGCGGCACCATAGACATCAAGGGTTTCGAGGTGCAGCGCGACGGCGCTGCTGTTGCTTGGAGCGCGCCCCACAGCAGCAGCAGCAGCAGCAGCAGCAGCAGCAGCGGCAGGCTGCAGGTGGCAGGAGCGGAAAGCGTTGCTGCTGCTGCTCTCGGCAGAAAAGACCTCTTCGTCGTGCTGCAGGCAGCAGCAGGGCCTCTCCACAAACACGTCAACCTGCAGCAGCTGCAGCAGCAAACTGCTGCGGGCTCTTTCCTCCCGCCCCAAGGAGGTGCCTACTAGGGTTTAGGGTTTAGGGTTTAGGGTTTAGGGCGAGAGGGTTTGGGCCGGAAGCAAAAGCGCGAAAGGGCTTGCCGCTGCCGCTGCTGCTGCTGCTGCTGCCTGCGCGCGCAGCCCAGCGCGCCGGGCTTAGGGTTTAGGGTTTAGGGTTTAGGGTTTGGGGCTCGCGTTTGTGCTGCAGTGCTGGACCTGGTGTCCCACCTGCTGCAGTCGCTGCTGCAGGTGCATGCGCTGTGCGGGGGTGTGGGGTCCCACCTGTCGATACACCCCAACAACTTGCTGCTGCTGCTGCCTTCCTTCGATGTCTTCCTCGGAGACAGCCTCAGCAGCAGCAGACTTCTCTCGCTGCTCGCAGAACTCAAGACGGGCACTCTCACGAGCCTCGTCAAGGCGCAGCTCTCCCTCAAGCTCGTAACCTGCTGCTGCTGCTGCTGCTGCTGCTGCTGCCGCTGCTGCTGCTGCTGCTGCTGCTGTTGCTGCTGCTGCTGGTAATGATCGTGGTGGTAGTGCTGGTACTTTTGCTGCTGCTGCTGCTGCTGCTGCTGTTGCTGCTGCTGGTCCCGGTGCTGTTGCTGCTGCTGCTTTATCTGCTGCTGTTGCTGCTGCTGCTGTTGCTGCTGCTGGTCCTGGTGCTGTTGCTGCTGCTGCTTTATCTGCTGCTGCTGCTGCTGCTGCTGCTGTGAATACGGTGCTGTAGCGCGGCAAGTGCGGCACTTAAGGGCACAGTGGCTCCACGCACACATTTATTTCTGTGGCTCTGCTGCTGTTTTTGCTGCTGCTGCTGCTGCTGCAGTTTTTAGATGACACGGACCGCCTGCTGTGGACTTCTCCCACTTTAATTTGTCGGCTAAGAGAGCTGCAGCAGCAGCTGAATTCACTTATGGCTTTCCACGCGGAGCACCAGCACTTGCTGCATTCGCAGCAGCAGCAGCAGCTGCTGCTGCAGCAAGGGGACACCTGCATGATCCTGCATGACAAATCGGCAGCAGCAGCAGCAGCCGCAGCAGCAGCGGCTCCTGCTGCTGCTGCGTCGCACAGTGCGCCCGCCATGCCCGAGCTAGCGGCAGGGTCGGCATTTGCTGCTGCAGTCCCAACAGCAGCAGCAGAAGCAGCAGCAAAAGCAGCAGGAGAAACAGCAGCATTGCATGCAGCCCTAGAGCAGCGTTTTGCTGCTCTTTACAAATTGGCAGACCTTCCAACGGCACTGCAGCAAAGCGCAGACTGCTGGTCTTTGGGTGAGCTCGAGGGTTTAGGGTTTAGGGTTTAGGGATTAGGGTTTGGTGCCTGAAGTTAGAGGTACTCTACTTTGCTCATGCGGCTGAAGGCAACAATGCAGAAATTGCAGCAAATTGTTTACAGCAGCAGCAGCAGCAGCAGCGGCAGCTGGTGATGCTGCAGCTGCAGCATCACCAGCTGCTGCTGCAGCAGCAACAGCTGCTGCTGCTGCTGCTGCAACAGCAACATGGGACGTGTTCAGACCACGCCAAGCGCCATCTATAGCCAGATCAGCGCACAAACACAGACGCACAAGTAATGCATACCCTGCTGCTGCTGCTGCTGCTGCTGTTGCTGTTGCTGTTGCTGGTGCTGGTGCTGCTGGTGCTGCTGCTGCTCAGGTGCTTGCATTTTCAACATTGTGAGTGGCGGTTTGCATCCCTACGGGCCAATCGACAACCCAAAGGAAACCCTTTCCAATATGGAGAAGGGAGACATGGTCAACATCAAGCTTGTAGGGTTTAGGGTTTAGGGTTTAGGGTTTAGGGTTTAGGGTTTAGGGTTTAGGGTGAAGGCCTTTCGAAGGATCTTATAGGCTACTTCGATTAAGGCGACAGGCTTCTGGTCTTTATTTCGCCAGTTTTAGGGTTTAGAGTTTAACCTCTAGGGTTTGGGGTTGAGTGTTTAGGGTTTAGGGTTTAGGATTTAGGGATTTTTAGGGCTCCTGGGATTTTTCTAAGGGTTTGTCGCTCAGTTTTAGGATTTTGGGGTTTGTCTTGCGTGGAGTGTAGGGTTTAGGGTTTATGGTTTAGGGTTTAGGATTTGACGCTGACGTTTTAGGGTTTAGGGTTTGCTCCGTGTTGTGAGTGCAGCTTGACAAGTCCCCGCTGCTGCAGGATTTGCTGCTGCTGCTGCTGCAGCCACCGCAGCAGCAGCAGCAGCCAGTGCTGCGGCTGGCTGTGTGCCATCCTGTGTTTTGGGCAGCTTCGGACATGCTGCTGTTTCTCCGGGCGTTTAAGCTCATGCTACAGCAGCAGCAGCAGCTGCAGCAGCAGCCCCTGCAGCAGCAGATCGACACCGAATCTGCAGCAGCTTTCGGCTCAGCACAGGGTAGCAATTCCATGCAAAGCAGCAGCAGCAGCAACAGCAGCAGCAGCGAGAAGCGGCTGTGTGGGCCAGAGCCGGAAATCCCCCCCGCAGCAGCAGCACCAGCAGCAGCAGCAGCAGCAGCAGCAGCAGCAGCACCAGCAGCAGCAACAGGGCAGCTGCATGCAGCGCTGGCGAAGCTGGAAGCAACAGCTCTTCCTCTTGATGTTTTAAATTCACTTTGCGAAGAGCCCTTTTTAAGAAAAACTGGCAGGGCCTTGTTTCCTCACTACAGCGAGGTGGGCTCTTGCTGCTGCTGCTGCTGCTGCTGCTGCTGCTGCTGCTGCTGATGCTGCTGATGCTGGTGCTGGTGCTGGTGCTTTTGCTGGTGCTTTTGCTGGTGCTGCTGCTGATGCTGCTGCTGTTGCTGTTGCTGTTGCTGTTGCTGGTGCTGGTGCTGTTGCTGGCGGTGGTGGTGGTGGTGCTGCTGCTTGTGCAGCTGGCGCTGCTGGTGCTGGTGCTGGTAGTGGTGCTGCTGCTGCTGATGCTGCTGTTGCTGCTGCTGCTGTTTCTGTTGCTGTTACTGCTGCTGGTCTTGCTTCTGTTGCAAGCCGCTATGCTAGTGATATTAGGTGCAGTTAGGTTGCTGCCTTTGCTGCTGCTGCTGCTGAACTCGCCGCTGCTGCTGCTACTTCTGCTGCTGCTCATATAGACAGTGCCGCTTATGTGCTGCTGCAGCTCTTCGCCGAGCCCAAAACAGCAGCCGCACCAGCTGCAGCAGCGACAGAAGCTGCAGCAGCACCTGCTGCAGCAGCAGCGGAAGCAGCGAGGAAGCCCAAGGATGCTGCTTCCGACGCCATTGTTGCTGCTGCATGCAGCAGCAGCAGCAACAGCACCGAGGGCACAGTGCAAGACACAGAAGGCAGCACTCCCCTAGCAGGAGCAGCAGAAGCCAGTGCAGCAGCTGCTGCCTCTCGTTT